AGAAAAGTCATATTCTAGCTATTTTGATCTTGATAGCCTTGCTTCCTGTCCTTGTTTCTCCTGCAGCACTAGATAGGTGAACTTGAACATCTCCCTGCATTGAAGAGGCATAAAAGAAACAGCACAGAATATTTCCTATTTCCTTTTGATGTTTGGTGACTAACTAAAGTCCTTTTTGTGCATAACTCTTGGGACTGTAGCAGAAGGAAGCACTCTCTGGCTTCTGTCATTAGCTAAGTTACCTCAAGCCACTGGGAGACTACACCCTCTGCTTCCCAAAAACAACATCAAGGTGCAAAGGATACCAAAGGAGTAGTAGCTGCATGGGGATTCCTTCTTTCCTCCATGCCAGAAATAACACAAAGATACAATTGCCAGTTGTCCTGAGTCTGTACCTCAGGATAAAGAATCCTCTGGCCCTATCCACTGGCTACTGGAACATAAGCCACCAATTGCTATTCAAGGAGGAAACCAGCAAGAAAGCCTGGCCTGGCCTGGCCTTGCCTGAAGTGCGTGTAAATGATAGCTTAGCACCTTGCTCTGGTCTTAAAGAATTGATGTGCCTCCACTTCCTATCTCTTGAGTGTCTGTCTTTTTCTGATGACAGGACCTGTCTGTCTTTTTATTGATATGTGCAACTTTGGGACATAATTATCTGAAATGAGATATTAAATAGCCTCTTTTAGCAACTGCCCTGGACATAAATAGCTTGTTTTAGCGACTGCCCTGGACAGTACTTCATTGGAAGAAAATAGTGGAGCCTCAAGAATTGATGCCCATGAAAAACACATTATTTTCAGGTGAAATCAGCTTTTGGTTTAGAAAATAACACTAAATAGTTGGACAAGAATTGTTTGGGTAGCAGACTCAGTGTGGATAAGCACTAAAAAAAGATACATGACCCACTGTTGCCAGACAGCTCTCTGATTTTGGAGTTGGACTGACACATGGATACTACAGTGGCCATGTGTCCTCTTTTACAAAGATTATCCTCTATTTAAAAGCATCTACTGTTTGAAGGGCTGTCCTGTCCAATTCCAGATTAAAGAACTATATGAGCAGTTGCCCATCATCAACAGTTAACATCTGGACAACAGATAGTCATACAGCTCACCTGGTCACAGCTTTATACACTATGGTGAAATGTATTGTATTTCTGTCTGTATTATGACAAATCTATATATCTGCAAATTAACATATGCACACTTTTGCAAATTGATATCTTACTTTTTTTTCTTTTGGTGATGCAATCCTTCTTTGTTCACACTTCATAAATGGTCATGTTAATGGACACATTTTAGTTAAGAGCAAATTACAGAGGGAAGGATATCTAAGGTTTAATAAGGGAGCTTTGAATGAAGATTGTTAAATGCAAAGGCAGCAACATTACATTACATGCAGAAGCTAGAGAGGTGCTCCTGACTTAGAAGACTTTTTTTATCAAGCATACCAGTGCAGTCTTTTGATTCCAATATGATACTGTAGTAAGGATCATTGCACTAATGCATGAAGATTTGTGATGTTGCAGAAATTTAACTATCAAAACTGAACTGCAGTGCAATGACTTTTGTTATCAAGGTTTCTAATAACTATTCAGCATGAATTGACCCTACATATGTTGTATAGCAAGAGTATGACGACCACTGCAACAAACATAAAGTGGAGACAGCAAACAAAACATGTCAAAACCTATATAATATATGTGCTGTGATGATATTAAAATGGATATCACCAAGACTGGATTTACACTCCTTTCTCCAGTATTACTTTGTTCCTCCTTTTTTTCTGTTTGTTCACAGCCTGTCCTCTCTCCTCCTAACTGTATCTCCAGCCTTTTTAACCACTTTCTGTTATCATTGTTTGAATGCCTCTTTTTGCAGTGGGACCAGCAGCATAGTGAAATAATCCAGAAATAATATTCCAAACGTTGCAATAAAGCAACCAACATGAACAAGAAGTTTCTCCTGCTCATTGGCTGAACTATGCCTACCAAAATGGAGAGAAGGGCACTACTTTTCCAGCTTGCAGACAGAACCAGAAAAATGAAGGCTTTCAGTCATTATAAAACCATGAACCCATTTGATTATTCCAATGGATCAACTATCTGAGAATACAGAGGAGTTCTGTGTTAGAGCTGAGCACAAACTCTTGTCCATGTAAAGCTAATATGTTAAAATTCAGATCTCAAGACTTATAAAACAAACCTGGAAGCTAATTTTGATGATGCTTCTGTTTTTTCTTTTTTACAGAAGACAACTCTGTGTACTTGGAAAAAGGTGAACATGAGAATGATTTTCTCCCTGAACATTCATGTCACTGTGATGTATATGTGCAGTACAAGAACTACAAAAATCATTATAGTGATACTCCCACAAAATTGATTTTCTGTTGCAGTTGTAAGTCACTTATTAGCAAAATCTGAAGAAAAATACACCTTTTAATAGGAGCAGTATATAACCAACTTCCTTTCTTGTTCTACTATAATTAGTACAGATATTCTTTATGTGCTGATTTTGTATTTGTAGATGCACTAGATTTTCAAAACATCAGGCAAATCTGTAATTATCCAATTTAGATCCTTATATAGCTATGCTGTCTTGGTTTTTGTGCCTTTAGGTGAACAGCAAGATTGTACACAAAGCAATCTCCTTGATTATTTTGTGGCATAGTTCTCAATATTTTACCTTAACCAATCATGATGCTCACAGAAGGTAATATAGAATAATAGACAATGGGGCTTGTGATATATACACAAATGCCTTCTGATTACTGTATAGATCTGCATATGCAAAGGATAGTTTTAAAATTCTGTTTAGAGGGTTTTATACCTCTGATCTCTTACATCTTTAGTTTCTTTCTTGATCAATTTTCATTGATTTTTTGCAGTTATACAGTGGTGATATCCACATGCAATCTGATCTTATTAAAGGCTTTGACAGCCCTTCGGCATGCTGGACCCATTACAAACAGCAATCCTAACAAATCAAAGAAAATCTTTCTATGGCAGTTGATCCAGAGAGCTATTTGCATGTGTATAAGGGGGCCTTTGACCTTTCATGTTCTGGTTGCATCTCTTCATACTGCAACATAGACCGCTTTTGAAACACCCCAACTGCACATGCCCAGCTTTGAAAAAATGCTTGAGGTTGCTCTTCCAAGAAAAGTCAGAAGCACCGTTGTGTGCTTGATGCCCATTAACTGGGTTTAGAGATTGCTGCTATAGTGACAAGGAAGTCAGTGGGATATTCCAGAAAAAATAATTTCATGTAGGTTACCTTTTACAGTAATTACCCCTATTAATAGGCAAAATGGCCAGTGCGACTTCTTTTATATTTTATATTTTTTATTTATTTTATATTGTTAATTTTAATTTTATATTGTTATTTTTGTATTTTATTGTATTTTATTGTGTTGTAAGCTGCCCCGAGGCTTCGGCAAGGGGCGGCATAGAAATGTCTAATAAATAAATAAATAAAGCTACCATATGAGAATTGATTTCTGCTTCTTATTTTGATTTAAATTTTCTTTTCCTATGTTGACAAGTTCTAATGTGTGTGGTCAATAAAAATATAGTTTAGTTACTTCCCAATCCATTTATGGCTGATCTATGCAAGCTTTCCAGGATAGTAAGATGTGTGTTAGGTGTGAAAGGATGATTTGAAACAAGGGAGTTTCAAATTTAAAGAGATTTAAAAGGGTAACAAAAATTACTTAGCCCAAAGGAGGGGAGGGACTAAAATCAGATAGTGCAAGGTATGGGGAAACACGCATGTAGGTAGGAGGGCCAAATACTTCCTGATTGTTTATTGACAAGCTGGGCAGAACAAAATGAGCCTATTGTAGCCCACCAGGGGCAGGGCTGGATTGGGAAGAAGGGCTGGCGTTGGGGCAGCGCGGAGTAGGCGAGCGGAAAGAATGTAACTCTCAGTACCCTATTAGCCAATTAGGGGAAAGGAGGAGGGAACAAGCAGTTGGGAGCAGGGTTCAAAAGGGTGTGTGTGAACATGGGCTCAAGTGAACAGAAAAATGGGAAGGAAACCATTCTTTTCTGTTCCCTTCATTGCAATAAAGTTTTAAAAAGAACTCTCTGCATGCCTGGAATATTTTTCTCTTCTGACAGAAAGGAAAGAGTGATCATAACAGTGGGGGGAGTGGTGAAAATTGAACCATCAGCAAAACAGCCCTCTGACAACTTTCCCCATTTCTGAAGTTCTGTGTTGGTGAAATTAGTATCAGCAGCATGTGTGGCAGAGTCATTACTTCATCGCAATTGAATACTCACTACTCACCAACTAATCCAAATTTTACCAAACTGGGGATGGGAGTACATGTTTAGCCATGGGCCGATGAAGCTGGTTTGCTGTTGAATAGCTCTGGGGAAAGGGTGTGATTTGCAGTGGAGGAGCAATGAATATGGGACTGGGGAGGTAAGCTTTCTCAAGCCCATTTTCCCCTTATGCTTACGACTCTTCCCATTGTTCCCACTGCTGACAAATTTTTTCCAACAATGCAACGAACAATAGTGATTCATTCTTCCTGATTATTTGACAAGACTATGTACATCAGGCATGCGTGATTCTCCACCCAGGAAAGGCTGTGTATGGGGAGGGGGGGAGCTTCCACACCTGCTATTTTTCTTTTTTGTAAGGCCTTTAGCTAGATCAGAGCATTTGCTGTGCATGAGTGCTAATTCTATGAACACATTAAAGCAGAGTATGATCTATATAACAAAGAGCACCCCAATTAACTTTGGCACATAAATATGTATCTTAAATACCAAAGGAGACAAATGATATTATTTTGGATATTCTTTAGCATTTTCACAGATAAACACTTTTAGGAAAGTAAAGAAGCAAACATTCAGGAAATAGAAAAGGGTATACATGAAAAGCACTCTATGCAGGCTGTTCCATGGACTTTGCAACCAATGTCTAATGTTTTTAATGACTCCCAATTTTAAAAAGAAAAGGCACTAAGAAACTGAACCATTATCACCATACCTGCTGTTGATCTCTTAATGCTGCTTCAGCCCTGACTTTATGATCACAGAAGTCCATAAGCTTATTTTTGTCATTTAGATAGCAGATTTGTAGCATCTGATATTCTTGTGCTAAACGCAGATTTTCACTCATTGCATCATCAACAGCAATCTAGAGAGAGAGAGATTTCTAATTACCATCACAAACCGTTTTTGAAAGCTATGACTTCATTATTAATGTATTCATATCCTGCCTTTTTCACACAATGAACCCATGGTGGTTTACTTAATTATTCTCCTGTACATTTTATCTTCAGAACAATCCTGCGAGATAAGTTGGAATGCAAGCCACTGAATGGCTCAAAATCATGGAGTGAGCTTCATGGCTGAGCAGGGACTAGAACCCAGATCTCCCAAGTCCCCATGCAACAATCTAATCACTATGTCATACTGGTTCTCAAATCTCTCAATAGTATTCATTAGGGACTGCTTTCCCATAGTGCTGCAATCACAATTTGAACTTACCCTCTCTACAAAAACTCAAATGCATAGTTCTGATCAAGAGTATTCATCATAGTGTTTATTTTATCTCTTAGATAAAAAATAAAAAGAATGAAATAATGTAGCAGCGGAAGGTAATCATTGTTCTTCAGGAATAATGTAGGCCACAGCATTTTCCCCCTCCACAGTCTTACTTTGACTAACGGACCTAAATAGTTTCAGTTATAACAGTGTCATTTAACACTTAAAATACACTTCTAGAGCAAACATAGTCCAAGCAAGTAATCAAATATTAAGAATACTGTGACAAAGATAATTATTTGCAAAAAGTAACTGGTCAAGTCTAGGGGCCAGCAACTTTCTCAGTAAGAGAGTTAGGATGCTATCTTATGCATGTTTTAGACAGGAAAATGTCCTACTACTCCTAGCATCCACAGCCAATATGGCTTGCTAGGGAATGCTGAGAAATGTAGCATGTCTGTATAAATATGCATGAGATAGCATCCTAAATCAGCCTACTAAAATGGTGACCATCCTTCATACACCATCCATACACCTTAGTAAGTAAGCAGTCTTTGTTTGAAATATTTGCATTTTATAAGATGGCCTCTGAGAAAGGAGATTTTGTCTCTAAAATGCAGTAGACTTCAATAGTTTCCCATTTGACACCTTGAAGAACACATTCTCTTTACTTTCAATTCATTCAAGCTGCTTGCAGTCTAATTTTTATTTGTATACACACAGAGGTTGCAGTTCTTTTGAACCTTTATTTTAATTAACTGCTTCTCTCAAAGAATGCTTTCCATACAGACAGACTTGTCTGTGGAGGAAGCCTTGTACAGTCAGGAAGATAACTGGATGTGTCCTAGGGTATGGGAGTTGACCCTTTTTCAGCCTGAAGGGCCACATTCAATTTTGGGTAAGTTCCCAGAGGCTCTATTTTGCACTGGGCAGAGCCAAACTACACCCCACCCTGCAAATAAAATAAAATATTAAACCTTACAGCTTTCACTGTCAAAAACTCTTGGGAGAGGTATTTTGGCATTTCAGAAATGGGAAAAAAATATTCACAAAAGCCAGGAAACCACCTAACAATTTGTGCTTGGGAAGAAGGAGGTAAAGCCAAGGGAAGGAGCTGTGAGCATCTGGGGAAATGCCAGGTGGGTCGAAACTGGGTGTTAGGCTTGAGGTTCCCCACCCCTCTCTAGGGTGTGTGATCAGTTTCTGCAGGGTGAGAACAGGGCTACACCCATAAGACCTTTGCCTCATGTAAAAGCTTGTGGGGGACCCACAATTCTCTGCAAATGACATCCCAAGGGGGGGGCCAGTAGGGAAAGGCATGCTGTCATTCAGCAAATAGTGCTCTCCGTAACTGTTCTTCTCATGTAAAATCTTCCTATTCACCCTCCAACCCAGGTTCCCCAGCAACTGGTGTATACAGACACAATGTCCCTTACAGAGGTAGCATTTAGCCATCAGGAGGAGTAACCTTTGATAATTTTTACCTCTATGAATTTGCCCAATCTCCTTTTAAAGCCCTGAGAATTGGTGGCCATCACTATTTCTGGCAGTGAATCCCATAGTTTAACTATGCACTGTGTAAAGAAGTGCTTCCTTTGACCTTTCCTGAGTCTCGCATGGTTCAGCTTTCTGGGTTGACCCTGGTTTCTAATAAAATGGAAATCCACTGCACATGCTCTGAACTCTTGTGTACATTCTGTACTCTAACTCACATTTTATCTAAACTAAAGAATCTCAGCTGTTGTAGCCATTCAACATAGGAGAGTTGTTCCAGCCCCTTGATCAGGTGTCCTTTTCTCCACGTGTCCTTTTCTCTACACTTCTCTGGAAGTGTAGTTGTGCCAGAGCTTTGGATAAGGGCAGAATGATTTTCAATTCCTTTCTTAATTATGCCTAACATGGAGTCTGCCTTGCTCACAGCAGCCACAGGCTGGGTCAACATTTTTCTGTTCACCACAACCTGCTGAAGTTATTGGTCAGTCGCTGCCAGCTCAGATCCCATCAGCTTATACTTCAAGTTACAATTACAGAACTGCAATTATTGCTGTGATTAATAAATGTTATAATCTAATCCTAAAGTAGCAATTATCAGTTCATTACATATTCACAAGTATATTTTCTAGGAGATTATTTTCAAACTTTTAATGACTATTGTAACAAATAATGAACTTCCTTTTCTACAAAACTGGTCCCAGTGGGAGGATTATTTGTTCTCATGACCTCCTTCGAGTGCCAAGGCCTGGTAGAGTTCTAAGAATTGCCATCTTTGTACTGTTCACTCTCCAAAACGGTATATAACATTAAAATGTTAATTAGAACATATCCAAAATGTTATTCTTATAAAATCCCTTAACGTCTGTAAGCATTTTCAGATCTGAAGAACAATGCAGGAAGCAATTATGCTGACAGAATTTCTGACTCATTGAGATTATGTACTTCATTTTACTGACAAGCCATTTTGCTTGACTGAACTACTCAGTAGAAATGGACGTGGCTGACACCCAGTGGTCTTTCAGGTAAGAATTAAAATACACCCGCACGCGTGTGCGCACACACATTTACCTGCTATGGTTTTTTTATACTTCAGAGCTGACAAAAATGGTTCTTCGGCTATTTATAAGCTGTAACCTGATCTCTGAATTTTCTTAATATTTTCAAATAGGTTACAGTATAAAAATTAATCACTGAAACACCTAAGTTGTTTACTTCTTGCCGCTTTACATATTCAGCTCATTTCTGTTGCTAAAATTGTGAAGAACCAGTTGTGTAGTTTTCAAGCCATTCTGGAGGAGGTTGTAGGCTCACAGTCTTGTGGGGGTGGTGTGTGCTCCTAGATCCATTACTGTCAATGGAGTCATGGTGGTCTTGGGGGTCCAAAGTGCCTTTTATCAGTTTAAGTCGATATACTGACTGCAACCCTATTTGGACAGAGGAAGGATTACAAGACCATTGACTACATCAGGCTGGGCAATCATACCTTGCCTCTGCTTTTTCATTTAAACTGCCTTCCTGTTTAAGTGCTGTTATAAAGCCAGCTTGTGACTAGAACCATCTGAAGGACCATTTCCTCCTTTTTACCTACTTGGAATGGAAAGGATTCTTCAGAGGTGCTTCTCAGGGAACCCCGAGTGAAGTTCAGTAGGTAGCTACCAGAGCAGGGTCTTTTCATGAATATTGCTTGATTATGGAAATCCCTTCCCAGAAAGGTTCACCTGGTGTCAGTGTTATATTTTTAAATGCTAGGTTAAGATCTTGTATTTTAAGTGCTTCTTAAGGTTGCTTTAAGATTACTTTAAATCACCAGTGTTTAATTTTCTGCTGTGGGTATTGTGTTGCCATTGCTGCATTTATTTTATTCAGTTTGTACCATTGTTGGCATTAAAACAGTCATAAAATAAATTTATTTTTAGACTTAGTATTTTAATATTTAATTATTTAAATATTGTTAATAGGCCAGAGGTCTATGTCAAGTGGACAGAATAGAAATGTTGAAAACTGACATACAAGCAGGTAAATAAATGGTGGCCTGCATAATTTTGGTATTATTTAACTTTAATTTTAACGTTCCCGTGAACTACTAAAATCATGGATGCATCACTGTGAAAGACTAGCACCAAATTTTGCCTTTTCTCCATGAGGCTGCTTAAGACAAAAATTAAACTATGCCAGTGTATTTTCCATTTAAATAAGTATTAAAATATTAGGATCTTGCCAGTCTGTAGAATAAATCTTCATACACATCAATCAATAATGTGCAGTAGCTTTCCTACATTGCATACAGAAGATTATATCTTTCTATCACTCTCTGGTTCTACACTCACAGTCCTTATGCAAGATTTAGCCTCTCCACTCCTCTCATAAGCATGCAGTGGTAGAGTGAAAAATCCCACTGTCACCACTTTTCACCAATGCCCCTTTTGCAGATGAGAAAGGGTAACTAATCTGCCTTGACTTATTTTGATCACATACCTCTGGATTAGACTGGCTGACCTTTATTCTTTTGTAGTTGTAATTCATCTCATGTATTCTAATCAAACATATCCAGAACCTATCTGACTAAACACTTGCATTCTCAGAGGCACCCTTTCTTCCTGTGACTCACTAAAGTTGTAACCTGGAACAGTGGAAGTCCAAGAAGGGTGTCCTTGGTGGGCAGTGTTTCCTTGAGAAATGCTGCTTCCAAAATCAAGCTGTACTTGTACCTTAACAATTTGACAATTACCAGTCTATCTATTTTCATAGACCTCTGCCCAAAGGCACAGAAGTGATAGACAATAGTCTAGCCTTACCATGTTCCTCACCAAATAGCAATGTGCATTATATTGGCTCAAGTTCGTATAAAGAAAAGATCCACCCATTCCAGGATCTGTACCATCTTTCAATGATTCTGTGCCTATCTCACATCAGACAAAGGGAGCCTAGATTTCTTTAAGTGCCTTTGTTTGGCTATTAGATTATATGCCACATAGTAAGGAAGACCAATTGTACTCTACTGTTCCTAAGGCACACCACCTCTCAGAAATGCAATGAATTAGCACTGAACCCAGGACTTCAAATTCCTAACTGAAATATCTTAATGACTTGAATATCATATCTTGCTACACTGTGACATTGATGAAAACTAAGTTTGATGGGAACATGAACCCCAAT